CAGAATTATACTCTACCCCAAGTCCAAAGTGTTGCCGTTTATATATATATATATATATCAACCGTACACATGTTTGTTTATTCACTTGGTTAAGAGTTAAAACTCCAATGACAATTATATAACACGAAGCTCACCCATTGCAATTGCCATTGGCCAAGTTCCAACAAACATCACATGTACATATGAACGAACTTCATCATCTGGTTTCACTCACAACTCTAGCAGCTAACACTCATTAAAATAAGTCACTTATGAGTCATCCTCGACAAAACCCATTACTCAAAACAACGTTTGCTTCATTAAAGAAACTACCAAAAGTATTCATGCAAAAGCACCACCCAACCAGCTTAATCATTCTGAATCCACTCAAAGTCGAACTTACATTTTGATTTAAATCTCAACATTAGCTACTCATATTTGACAACTCATATTTGTCTCACCGTCAGATTCGCATGAAAACAAGTAGATGGGGTTAGGATTTGAACTTTAACAAGTAAAGAAACAAATTATTAATGTGTTCGATAAATAAAGGAGTGAGTGAGATTGTGGTTTATAGATAGGCGCAAAATATAAGCAAGACACCTGAGTGACCCCATTTGTAAGGACGTGTGAAAAGGAGTCGAGCATTTTGTCACTTTATATATAGTACAATCTAGTTCAAACAAAAATAAATTCAAATTATTACCCACTTGAAGGCTTCAAGCCATCTATACTATTATTATAAATTACTTACTTGATAATACAGTCCCCTTTTATTGAGGAATCTTTCAAATAATTTTATTTGAGGGACATCATTTAGGGTCCTTTACGTTTTTTTTTTCAACGATCCAAACCATCTATTTTTTAAGTCTATATTCATGGATCATCCTTGCAAAAAATTAGACAAATCGGAAACCATTGCGAAATCCAATTGTGCCCTACAAAATTAATGAATAAGGTGCTTTAAGAAAGTATTAAAATATCAAATTTTCAATTGAGTTGTCAAATGATATCGGATTCAAGTGATTTTTTGTAAAAATGATCTTTGAATGAATATCTACAAAATAGACAGTTTGGATTAGTGAAATACAATATAGAGTGGTAATAACATTCGGACGTCCATATAAGAGAATTTCTGTATATCAGCTATTCTCTTATCTGAATTTCCGCACATTATTACCGCGTTGATGTCATTGTAAGGGCCAGTTTGGGATTGCTATCACTTTAAAAAAAAAGTTGCTTCTGCTGTACTTTGAAAATAATTAGATGTAAAGTAAAGCATCTCCATGTTTGGTAAATAATTCTTTTAAAGTGTTGTGAGTACAAAAAGCAGTGTTAAAATCGTTTGGTAAAATTTAATATAAAATTGTTGTAATTGTGAATAATGACTCAAATGGACATTATTTTGAAAGTGTTATGCGCTAATTATGTGGTGGTAGTGGAGGTTGTGAAAGAGATGGAGGTGATGATGGTGGTGAAAGAGGTGGTGATGGAGGTAGAGGTGGTGGAGATGGAGGAGGAAGAGGTGGTGATTGTGGTGGTAGTGGTGGTGATGAAGGTGGAGGTGGTGGTTGTGGTAGTGGTGGTGATGGGGATGGCGATTGTGGAGGTGGAGGTGGAGGTGGAGGTGGTGGTGGTTGTGGTAGTGGTGGTGATGGGGATGGCGATTGTGGAGGTGGAGGTGGAGGTGGAGGTGGTGGTGGTTGTGGTAGTGGTGGTGGTGGGGATGGCGGTTGTGGAGGTGGAGGTGTTGGTGGTAGAGTTGGATATGGAGGTGGAGGCGAAGGTGGTGTCATTTTTAAAAATGAATGATGGTATTTTGGGAATTTAAAAAATTCCTTAAAGCTTATCTCTGCTTCTTTTGAAAGTAGCTTTGAAAAGCAACACAGAGCCTGTTTTTAAAAGTTGCTGTCAAAAAGCCACTACTTTTAAAATAATCGAGATATTTTATTTTTACTAAACACCTTAAACTGCTTAACTTTAAAGCGAAGTAGGTTTTTGGCAACCAAAAAAAAAAAAAAAAAAAAATCCCAAATGGGACCTAAACAAGGAGGATAGTAGGGAGGGATAGTAAAAAAAATACATGGTAAACGAATGGTAATAACGTTCGGATCTGCATAGGAGAATTTCTATATATATAACAAAGGAGTCATAATTTTCCATTCTTAAAAACATTAGAAAGAATACACGATAATTTTCCGATAATCAGAAATGTTTAATCTACTTTCATCGATTGGATAGATCCTTATGAGTGTTAACAACATAAATCTTAATACCAATATAAAAGAAAGGGTCAACTTGTGAAGGTGCCCAAACCATAAAGCGAAGATTAAAGAACAAATACTAAATATAATCACTCACTTACACACCGTATAAGCAAACTAGATACATTGCATCAAAGAGAATCAAATATTTTAAAATCCAGCAGCTTTTGTCCTAAACCAAAACATTTAAAATCTAGCAGCTTTGTCTTCTTCCTGGCTAAAAGAGAACCGTAAACATTGAAGTACAACAATTAATTAAAATAAACCCAGCAATTAGAATAACATTGTGGGTACACAAAACATTTCGCACTGCCTAGTTGTATGGTACATGCATGCATGCTGCTTTGTTAATCTTAAATGGATCAAGGAATAATGACATAATTAATATTTAATAAAGTGGGTGACTTGGATTGAAGTTGCATGATGGTTTTGTGCTACAAATTTAGGGTGATGTTATTGTTTTGGATATAAAATTGTGAAAGAGTGCCGAAACCGCTTGTCGGGAATAAAGAAAGAAATATTCTGGTCTTACAATGGAATTCCTGAGGAGATCATCCATGTGCATTGTGCCTGTGTCTATGTCAGAAAGATGTTTATCAGGTTGGTTTTGTTCTTAAGTTCAACATTAATCCGATAAATAATACAATATGTTTCTTATTTATTTTGTCCTTTTTTTTGGTTTTGTTTGGAGTATTGGACCTTGCAGACAAGGATTCTGCCATACGTGTCTGGATCTGCACCATGTCCAAATGGTACAGTGACCATTTAAGACCACAACATTAACATGTGACAAGAGTTTTATTAGCATCAGTTGTTCAGCATGTAAGAATGACCCATAGTGTTGAAAATGACCAATAATCACTAAACGATATGAGTTTTCTATAGCTAGTTGGTAGCTCACAGTCGTTCCTATGTGTAATTGGTTATCATATATGACTCTCATAATAAGTCATATATCGGTGACTCACAATTGCTTACATTGCATTGGTTTACAATTTCAAATGTTATCTTGATTTTAGACATAGCAAGAAATGAAATGTGACTTTCAACCTCTAAAAATCTATAATCGTCCATGTATGTGTGAACAATATTATGTTGAAAAGTCAGTGAATTTGTTTACATTGATAATTAAGTCGATGAAGAATTGAATAAATAAAAATCAATAGTTCATAACTATTTTATCACTTGCATATGCCATGTTCATATTGGTAATGGTGAACTAAAATCAATATTAAGTATGGGAAAGGTTACAATGTAGAATTGGATTAAGAAGCAAACTAAGTCAACCGTTATATATATTGTTGATATCAGTTTCCTCGGGCAGTTCACAAGGCAATCTAGTACAAACCCTAGCAAGATAATCTAAGAAATTGGGTCCATCCTTCATGATAAAATAATCACCTAAACTAAAATCCAATTTAAAAAAAAAAAAACAAGTACATGTATTTTGTTTCATATGAATTAATTAATTAATAGGAATCTGGTATTTTGTAAAGCATAACTAATTTTCCATGGTGGAAAATAATTTTCGATCAATGGACAATTTTCTCTTTTTTTATTCTTGGTTATTATTTTCTTCACTTCTTGTCCTTACCATTACCAATAAATTTTTAGACTGTTTATGGTAAAAAAAAAACTTTCCATATTATAGAATTAAAATTAGCTGCACATCTTCATACGGCATGATGGTGTCATGGTGATGGCATTATACATTGTACTCACAGAAGAACATAGAAATATATATATATAAGGAAAAAATAATAATTACAATTAGAAACCACAAAAAGATTTTAGTTTTCGAAATAGTTTCCCAACTTTTGAATTGCAAATTACAATGTAAAGATATTGCAAATCACGATTGCATGTTACAAACTCATATGACATACGGACACATATTTGATCTTTTGATTTTGACGGATTTAGTTTTCCATACGAGTTCTTACCATAGGAAAACTCATGTTTAAAATATATACGCACACACATATACACCATTGTTAACTCATAAACAATGAAGCAACAACTTATTAGGCAAGGAAATGATTTTATTTGAAGCTTGTAAAAGTACGATTAGCCCTAAAATTAGGGCCCGGGAAAATAAATAACTTTTAAACATGGGATAATTTTTTTTTTTTTCCTGTTTAAACTTTTCTGCTGACGACCTTTTTAGGATTAAAAAATTAATTGAAAACTGATTATAAAAAAAAGGTAGCTAAAATCTCAACGGTGATCATTGGTGACTCTCTTTTGTCATCCAATAATGGAGGGCATACCATGACCCTTCATAATCCGCCAATCTACCATAACACCCTGTCTACTAGACAGGGTGAGCCGCCGGAGGGAAATTTTGTTTTTTAATAGGGGTATTTATGGAAAGTTACCATATAGACAGAATGCAAAACCGCGTAAAAACCTCAGCATAGTATAAGGCAACATCTAGCTCCCATAAAACCTCTGAGAAATGAGAGGCAAAAAAGGCCGTTTAGGATTTTCTTATGGTAAGAAATATTTTGTTTTGGGTAAGAGACAAAGGTCCTGAAAGAGTGGGAAAGTTTTGAATGAAAATTCAATATTAGACAGAGAGAGAGAGAGAGAGAGAGAGAGATTATAAATTGGAATGGAATCTCCACAAAAAAAAGAAAATTTTAATTTCCATAACTAATTTCCATAAAAAAAATTTCTTTGATGTGGACTGGGCTTTATTGATCCTTGTGAGAAAGCCATCTCTCAGTCTTGTCTTATATGCTTCATTGTTCTTCTATAAATGAGTCACATTCCACCTTACTTTAACTCCTAATTCTCTGATTTTTTTTCCTGCTTTTTTCTTCTCTCTTCTCTTCTTTTCTTTTCTGCCTTCTATCTCACCAGAGGGGGTGAAATTCAGACTATGGAGGACTTGGGTTCTCTGTGGACTACTTATCATGAGGTGGGTTACTCCGCATTTCTTCTTCTGTGTGACATTTCTGTTCATCTTTTTCCTTCTGGGCTCTCGCCTTGTTTTGCAATTCATTCAAAGTTTGTTGCTTTTCTACTTCAATTGTGTGTTTTATGATGGTTTCAAGTTTCAACTGCAGTTTCTCACATTACTTTCTTTCATTGCTCTTTCAATTCATGTTCTCAGTTGTTTTATGTGAGTTTAATTGTTAGTGATGGATCTTCCATGTCTGGCCAAATCCACCCCCCTTGAATTTGTTATATTTCATCTATATAATCTACCACAAAAGAAAGAAGCAGTCATTTACTCTCTGCCTAAAGTTTTCCATTTCCCCCATTTATGGCCTCTATTAATTATCAAATTTTATACTTACCAAGATCACAGTTGTAATGATTTCTTGTTTTCTAGTTTTTCAGCAAGCATTTACAAGCCCTGCAGTCTCATTAGAAGTCAAGGGTCTTGTGAATGTAAATTTTGTGTTTAAGGAGTGCCTTGGTCAATTAATTGGCCATTAATTTTTTTAATACATTTTATGGAAAAATGTGTACTTTTTCTGTTATATATGTTATGAACAGAATATCTTTGAGTAAGAATGTGTAGGTAACTTGGTATTGATGGAAGCTTGTGATATTTCATGACAATAATGAATTTATAGGGCCCAGTGCCCATTTCTGTTATAGGGGTAGGTTTTAATGGAGACTGTTTGTATCTTACCCTCTTTTTGCCCCCCTCTTAAAAAAGAAATGCATGATTTGCTGACCAGGACGTGGGATTTGCATGGGCCCTTATGGGGTTTTCACTGTTCTTCCTAACTTTGAAATAGTGGTTGTTTGGAACCTGCTTTTGTGTCTGTTGAGAATTTTTGGTTTGTCAAAAGTTTGGTGCTCATGTCAAGTTTGAAACTATGGGCTTCATGTTGATTTTGCCTTATTTATTTATTTTAATTTGTCATGATTTAGGAATTTGATTCATGAAGAGATTGCATGTTGTTAAAAACTTTGGTTTCAGATTCTATTATGTTTTTGGTCTGTGATTCTATCTTTCATGGAATTGAAACTAATTTCTTAAATCCTGTTTTGAATTGACAGAGCACTGATGAATTGAAGCAGAAGCTTCTGTTCACAACCCTTGAGCTGGAATCAGTAAAAACTTTAGCAACTGATGAAATCAGAAAGAGTGAGGAGAATGTGAACAATTTGCTCAATCTTTTGAAGGTTGCATACAAAGAAAGAGATGATGCCAGAGCTCAGCTTCACAAGCTCCTAAACAAGATCATGCCTTCAAATCCAATTGAAGCGCCCATTAATATGTTTCCACATGTCCAGCCTGAAAGCCCACTTGTAATTCCCACCAAAGCAAACTCCAGCATAACTGAATCTAACAGCCTCTCTGAAACATACAACCACCAATCCCATGGCTCTTCCCCTGTGGAATCTCTATTTGATGCAGTTTCTTCACCAGAGTTCTCAAACATCAACATGGCAGACTCTGGTAACATTGCTTTTGTGAAGCAGCAGCAGCAGCAGCCTTTGGTGCAAGAATTTAATGACTCTATGTCTTCTGGTGTAGCCTCTTCTGGCATGACCAAAACTGATCCTGCTTCTGTAGTGATTGACAATTTTGTCAGAGGGAAGACTCTGCCTCAAAAAGGGAAGCTCTTGCAGGCTGTGATGGAAGCTGGCCCGCTGCTTCAGACACTTCTTGTCGCCGGGCCTCTTCCTCGTTGGCGAAATCCTCCTCCTTTGCAGTCCTTCAAAATCCCACCTGTTTCTATCAAAGGCTGTGAAGCTGCAAGTTTTAACCAGAAACCAGTGGCTAATCCAAGTTATGGGGTTCATAATAAGCCACTGAGTTTTGCATCATATCCTGAGATGTCTCGTGGGTTTTCGCAAACATGTTCAGCTTCCATGTTGAATTTCAACAATGGTGCTTCTGGATCATGCCTGAACAATGCAAGGCTGCTGACTTCAAATTCCAGTATTGACCACCAAATCCCAATTGGCAAGCGGCAGAGGCTTCAATGAGATTTTGGAGAACTTTGCTTCTTAATTTTGTGTAAAAATCAAAGTTTGAGCGGTTGAGGGTGTAAATGGGATACTTTTGTTTTTGGGGTTTGAACTTTAAATGACATAGCCATTTAACTTCAGTTTGCCCTTTGTCTCTCTTGTACATCAAGATGCTTCTTCGGTTTGCTAGTTTCGTTCACAAAGGGAAAACTAATAAGCAAAGAGCAATATAATTTTTTAGCACTAAATCCAATTATAAAATTCCAGATCCCAATATATGTGGCCGTGTTTTTCTTTTTCGTGTAGAAAATATTATTATGCAATCTAAACTGCACTGCGGTTTTCATGTTTTCTGGTCATCTAAAAAAAATGTATCCAAACTTTGATATCATCTACCTCAGAAATTTGTATAGTAGTTCATGCAATTGGGTACCCTTGATATCCTCACTAGGCATCAGCCTTGCATGTGTCCGCATATGTTGTTTCTTTGATTTAATCGTTCTTTGACATCTTTATACTAATTCCAATCTTATAGGTTTCCTTAAACAATAAACGCATTTGTTTGCTAATGAGCCCTATATATTCAGCAATGCAGTCTTATACAAAGCCTTTTTGGAAACTTTTGATAATTTATATCTTTTTGCAGAACTGATAAACTATCATGGCTTCAAGCTCACCCCTATCTCAGGATCCACCTTGGAGACCCTGGGTTATATCTTTTGTTGCTCTTGTTTGCACCTTCACCCTCATATTCAGTTACTACAAGTTGCTCAAACGGCTCTGCAGCACAAGCTTCCCAAGATACCTGAATCAACGACGCATTCTGAATGAAACCAACCCGGATGATCCATCTCTACAGTTTCAGAGCGAGGGGCTAGACGTCTCTGTTATGCGGTCTCTCCCAGTAACTCAGTTAAAGAAGAAAGATGAAGCAGAAGCTGCAGAACACAGCCAAAGCAATGCAGACTGTGCAATCTGCTTGGGCGAATTCGAAGAAGGCGAATGGCTGAAAAAACTGCCCAAATGCTCTCATGAGTTCCACATTTCTTGCATAGACACTTGGTTTGTGTCCCACTCAAACTGTCCCTTGTGCAGATCACAAGTCTACGATTTCATGCATGATTGTCTTGTTCCTATGGACACTGCATTAGAGACATTGAGCCAAGATGAAATTCAAGAAAGAGCATCACATTACCAAATGCTGCAGACATTGAGCCAAGAAGAAATTCAAGAAAGGGCATCTCATTACCGAATGCTGCAATTCGCCATCCTGGGGAACTCACCACTTGGAAGGGAAGCAAGATATGCCCGTTGATTTTTTATTTTTTATAAATCCAACGCATTAGAAAAAGTGGAAGGTTCCAACGCATTAGAAAAAGTGGAAGGTGCAGAATGCAACCCAAAGCACCCGCTTGCCATGTATCGTCTTAATTTTTCAGAATTGGAAAAATGTTATGTTATCAGACTCAAATGCTGCAGACATTGAGCCAAGAAGAAATTCAAGAAAGGGCATCTCATTACCGAATGCTGCAATTCGCCATCCTGGGGAACTCACCACTTGGAAGGGAAGCAAGATATGCCCGTTGATTTTTTATTTTTTATAAATCCAACGCATTAGAAAAAGTGGAAGGTTCCAACGCATTAGAAAAAGTGGAAGGTGCAGAATGCAACCCAAAGCACCCGCTTGCCATGTATCGTCTTAATTTTTCAGAATTGGAAAAATGTTATGTTATCATACTTTCAAGAAGAGATTATAAGCCACCCATTCAAGAATTCACCTTATTATAGCTAATTTTGAAGTGCTTTCTTGTTGTATCTTGTACATGGACCCCGATTTGACGCCACAAACACATGCACCTTGACTCACTCCCACGTTTCCCTGCAAGAGAAATTTAAGTCTGAGGATTTGGCTTGTTCTTCTTGGGATCAACGACCTAATGAGTACCTCTAAACCCTACATCCAGACCCGACCCGACATGCTCAATGACCGACCCGGAGGAACTACATTCTGACAACCAAACACCCAAGTTGCCTACCATGCCATCGTCGTACTTTAAACAAATCTACTAAAAGTAACTCGGATTCTAGAAAAAATGGACGTTGTTAGTCTTCTTACAGACACAAGGGTACCTTTTCCCACACAAACACAAGCATGCTGCGAGGCTCATGTAACTCTTGTTTTCCCGAATTAGGAAAAAGCAAACCAAAATACTTCATTCTCACACGAAAAAGAGACACAGATGGAACCAAAACAAATGAAAATATTGCAATCTACTTCACGATAGGCAGCTCAAAAGGATAAAAACGGGCACACAGTTCATTCAAACTTTCCCTGGACTGCTTGGCATTAACCATGGCTTAATATGCAAAACGTGATTGCATACGAAAATGAAAGAGCATTCAAATGATGTTTCAAAATAGATTAAATTTTCAAGTCTACAAAGTCAGAACTGCAGGTATAACCACAAAAGACAAAGACGTTGTTTTAAATCAGTAGCAAAAACTGTTACAACTTCAAAACTAGATCTGAGTGAGCTCAAAGAGTATGCTCTCTTACTAAGTAGCTCTGTCACTACCCTTAGATGATACCAATTTTGTTTGCCACATCCAAAGCATCGTAATCCGGGGTCAGCCTAACATAAGCCTTTTTGGTACCATCAGGCCTGGATAAAAAATATTCAGATTATCAGATCATCATGGGATGGAGTCGTGGAGCACATAAACAAGTGCGCATCACAAGAAAATAGTCTAACTGATCCACCATGTCATGATTAATACAAAACTTAACCCGCATACCCATACATAAAAATACATTCAAAAAGTCTCAAAAACCATCAAGTACCCTGCAATAATTGTAAGCTACTACATATAAACCTCCGAAAATAGAACATATAAACCTCTGAAAAAAGAACATATAAACAGCTTGGATACAGGACAGCTCATGCATCAAATATTAAAACTTGCAAACTATTCATCAAACCTACATCTTGGCTGAAAGTAACAGAGTATACACACAAGTATTACATAAACACATCATTCTTTCCCAGACTGATAACAATTACAGATGTAAACCTTCTGTTGGTTCCTACTTCTTAATATTAAATGGTACTAATGTGCAAATTCCAGGTCAATATTTTCGAAATAATAGAAAATTCGATTCATTGCAAATTTCTTAAGGCATTATTCTAATGTTACTAACCTGATCAAGGTATTCACTTTCTTGGACTGAATATCATACATCTTCTTGACTGCATCCTTAATTTTCTTTTTGTCAGCACGTATGTCGACAATGAACACCAAAGTGTTGTTGTCTTCAATCTTCTTCATTGCAGATTCAGTAGTAAGAGGATACTTCAAAATTTGATAATGATCGAGCTTGTTCCTTGGTGGAGCACTGATACGAGGATACTTAGGGTTCCTCTCCTTTTTCAATGTCCTAGGCCGATGAAATGTAACTGAAGTTCGGATCTTCTTGGCCTTCTTCTTAAGGATGGGACCCGATTTCAAAGCCTTTGCAGCTTTTACAGCTTGTGACTTTGGATCAGCCTTTTTTGAAACATCCGCTGGAAAAGATATGCAGTGGTCAGCCAGAAACATTTAAACACAAAACCAAAAGGAATTAGTTGCTTTAAGAGGCAACTCATTGAAGAGGGGAAACTCCAAATGTTTATGAGAAAGAACATAGAGGTGGAAATGAGCATGGCAATGAAGACTGGAAACAATTGAATTTGCATCACCTATGGTTACTGGTTACACAAACCTATCCATGCCTGACCTTTTAACAATGGGTCAATATCTCTTGGGAAGAGCCATCTAAACAAGCTAATGTCGATATACGTTGAATTATAACTAGTTACATATAAAAAGGAAAAAAAACAAAAAACAAAAATTGTTTGTTCCAAATACTCAAACATGGACCATAAATAGATGCTACACTCTAGAGATGTTAAAATTATCTTGATAAGTAGTTATATTTGAAAGGGGAAAATAAACAAGCTTTGACAAATTTGTTTCTTCCAATTCCCTTGATACTCCTAGGCCTACTGCCTTCACGCTAATCCTAAAAGACTAGATAGCAATCCTGCCATTCAATTGGCTTAGCTATGAAGTACTAGAAGCAAACTCATATGAATTCTCAGGGAGATTCATGCATATAAGTATGAAAGGTATCATTTCTAACTCAAAAGAAGACCGCTGCTCATAAACATTAAATCATCAATGCATTGATGTTCAGTTAACGACTGAACCAAACATGATTGCAAAGCTTACTTTTGTTTCATTAATCAATTTCCTCATGTTTCACAGCAACTATTGATTAAAAAAAACTGGAACCAATAGCAACATAAATTTACTCATACAATGATAAAACAGTTGAAAAGAAATTAAGGTTTTACACAAACACAGAAAAATTCTAATCCATTTGGTTTCTAAGAAAATGCAGCATACGGTAGCAGTCTCCCTACAAGCAAGAGCCCATAAAATCCAACTTACACGATTATTCGGCTCATATAAGTTGGTTTATCAGTCGCTAATACTAAGCAATCGCGATAGTTTGATATATACATATATACATATATGCAATAACTACTTTTCTTTAATTTTCTCAGCAACCAAACAGTGACTTCTGGAAACCGAAATTGATAATAACACAACAGCAAAGAAAAAAAATAGAAATTGATAGTACGAGGAAAAAAGACAATAAAGGAACAGTACCTTTAGCTGGAGCCATTGGTTACCGATGAAGAAGGTCTGCTTATAAGCCCTTGTAACCACTAGGAAACCCTAAAAGAACACACAAATATAGCACGTAAATATCAACATTTTCTCACTGTTCAAAAATGTGTAAGTGCGCGTTTGTGAGAGGGGGAGAGAGAGAGAGAAACAGACCTGCCGGCGTGAAGCTGAGGAACCAGTAGGGTTTAGGATGAAGAAGAAAGCAGGGATTATATAGAGTCGGGGAAATTACACAAATGTCCATGGCTGTTATTTTATTCACCCACATAGGCTTTCTCATCGTGTACACGTTAAAATGGCCCAGGCTTGAACACTAGGCCCAAGCCCACTATTATTAGGGTTTATTATCTTTATCCTTATCTGTTTTTTTGTTGATAAAAATAACTTTTTATTTTGTTATTTTATTTGCTGACAAGTAACTTTTCTTTAGCATTTTTAGAGAGTAAGGAACCTTGTTTCTGTTAAAAATTGAAGTAATGCATCCTATAAAAAAGAAAGTTGAAGTAATGGAGACGTGAATTAGCCTAGTTTGATTATGGCAATGTCTTGTACCCAAGTTCTAATTTTCATGTCAGTAAATTATATTAATTTAGAGTAATTTAAATTATCGCTTGTATTTAAAAATAATAATAATAATAATAAACTAGTTTGAAAAGAGTTTTTGGAGTGAACAAATTTTGATGTAGTATATTTGGCTCTTCAAATTACAATGTTTGAGATGTTTTAACTGCTTTCTCATTTGAGCACTTAAAAATGGATTGAAATGATTATTAACAAGAAATCAATAACAAAATCAATGAACTCTCTTTGGTACATAAAGAAGAAGCCTTATGAATTTCTATATCTATATGTGTGTGGTAGCTATGTATGATTTCAACTTTCACTGTCTGATTCTGGTAGGCCTTGGTTGTTATTTACATTCGGGTTGATGAATCCGGATGAAAGCCCTTGAATATCAGAACCATAAACATGTCCCATCTTGGTTCGTTTTGTTTCCAAGTAGGTCTTGTTTTCCTCTGTAATTGGTGTCAACACTGGAACCCTCCCAACCACAGCCAACCCATATCCCTTTAGTCCAGTGAACTTTGCAGGGTTGTTCGTCATTAGTCTCATCGTTCGAACCCCAATGTCTCTCAGAATCTGCTTACAATCATTCACAAAAATTGTTATTATATACATAATTGAAATACTATCTCGTTACGTTTCGATCACGTAGGTTTATGTTCGTATTCATAGTCTAACAATACAAGCATTTGTTATTATTAAGACCATGGTTTGTGAAACTGACCTGAGCACCGATCCCGTATTCGCGAGAATCAACAGCTAGTCCAAGTTCTATATTGGCCTGGACTGTGTCATGGCCTTGGTCCTGCAGATTATAGGCTTGAAGTTTGTGACCAAGGCCAATGCCTCTTCCTTCATGACCTCTAAGGTAAACAACAACTCCTCGACCGGCTTGCTCAATCAGCTGCATTGCCAAGTCCAACTGGTTGCCGCAATCACACCGGGCTGATCCGAATATGTCCCCTGTCAAACACTCTGAATGAACTCTTACCAGCACATCTTCTCCGTTCCCAATGCTTCCCTGTCGATGTTCGATAGAAATTTAGCAGAAGGTTGGCACACATATTAACCTTTCCGAACACCAAATGATCCTTCTTGTTTTTGTACAAGAAAGGTTCATGCATACCTTCACAACGGCAACATGTTCTGTTCCATCTAGCTTTGAGTTGTAGCAATAAGCCTGAAACAATCCCCACTTTGTAGGTAAACGGGAAACTGCTTTTCTTTCCACCAATTTTTCCCTCTTTCTCCTGTACCTATTAGCATAACATACTATATGAGCAAAATCAACAATCATAGTTCTAAATCATTCAAGGCAAAACTTTCTAAGAAATTTTTATATGTGGTTGAGTAGATTGTTTACCTGATCAAATCAGTTATGGAGACAATTGGAATGGAGTGGTCTAATGAGAGTTTTCTTAAATTGGGCAAAGAGGCCATAGAGCCATCTTCTGCATCAACTACAGCTGAGAGAACAGACACTGGCCTCAAGCCTGCCAGAACAACCAGATCAACCGAAGCCTCAGTGTGGCCGGCTCTCCTTAGAATGCCGCCATTTCGGTACTTGAGAGGAAACACATGGCCAGGCCTTCTAAAGTCTTGTGGCTTAGAATCATGAGATGCGAGAGCTACGACAGTCTTTGCCCTGTCTACAGCTGACACTCCAGTAGATGTTCCAACTTTTGCATCCTTCAAACACAAACAAGAGAAAAATAGATAAGTAAAGGTTTGCTTCTTGTTAAATTGCAGCCTATGTTTTCAAAATGATGGAGAATTCTGAGGCGTTTGCAAAGGATTACCACTGTGATTGTGAATGTGGGGGCAGATGAGTCTTCTTCCTCAGTCTCTGGTGACATCAGAGGAAGCTTCAGTCTTTCAAGATCCTCCTCCTTCATGCCTACAGAGACAATCCCAGACCCTTGCTTGATCAGGAATGCTACGTCTTTCGGACTTGTGAATGATGCTGCCATGACTAGGTTTCCTTCCACTTCCCCATTTTCATCATCTACAACAACAATCACAAACTAAACATAAAAAAGACAAATTAGTGGAATTTTAAGTCCTATTAAACCCAAACAGTGGAATTTTAACTTAAAAATCATTCTACAATGTGAATCTAATATCATTGACTCATAGCTTGAATTGAGCTACAAAACCTCAGCACATGCTTATCTATGTACACATAATATTCAATGAAATTCACAATAAGATTAATTGTTCTACCAAAAAAAAAACAAAAGATTAATTGTATTTGTAATTCCCAAGAGCAATAACACTTCCAACCTTTCCTTGGCTTAATGTGTTAAGAGCCTGCTCTATTGATGAGTAGCCCTCAGATGGGCAATCAGGGTCGCCCTCAGCTTCACTAACAAAGAAATCAATGGTCTCTGGTGTGATCTCAGCATCCAACGTCCCAAATGGCACTGCTGAAGCTGCCTCATCCAAGCGACCCAACAAAGAACCATTTTGATCAATTCCCTTTAGGTTATTAGCATCACCAAAAAGGTCCCCAGCTGCTCCAAGGCTACTACTTCCAGACACCCCAATAGCCCAAGTTGTTGGATTCAACCACCTTTGCCTGTACAGGCATTGACGAACCACAAGAGACTGATGCACACTGTGACAGAATCACCCGAGTTATGAGTTCAAATTTCATGAATGACAGTTTTTTATTAATTAAAAAAAAAAACAATGAGAAAGAACCTTGAGCTAGTGAGGATATAGGGAAAGAGGGGGTGAAGAATTAAAGCATCCATGAACAGAGGGATTTGAGAGACTTCAACTTCTTCTCTAGTTGTTTTCTCTAGGAATCAGAACTTGCATATTGTGTGCTGCACGAAGGGAAGAAAAATCCCACCTCTAGTTTCGGATGTGCTTGCAAGCTTTTGCTCTCAGAGCCGTTATCCAAAACTTGAATAAATGTACGGAATTGTGAGCCACATTATTTTCTGTATAAATTTGGTTGGTGTGATGGTGACATAAAAAGAATTGGATGCTGCTTTCAGTTGGATTATCCTCAAACAAATTGTAGTTTTGGAGCCAAAGGACGATGATTAGAATAAATGCAAGAGATAAAAAAAAATTAACAAAAAAATTAACCATAATTTGTACATTTAATTACTCATAGTTCAGCCATTTCATTAAAAAAAAAATAGACTGAGATCATTGGTGTGTACAAGTTATGACTATTTTTCATTAAGTGTGATGGTGTGTAAGTCATGATCATTTTTCATTGGTCTAGATTCCGTCGACAAAATTGATTGAATTTAATAACTTAATATGCGCTTATAATATACTTTTATTTTTCGATGATTGCATATTTTTTCAACATTTCTCTATTCTGGATGGATTTCCAAAGAATTGAAAACACATCAACCGTTATTCTGTAACATCATCAAACAGCAGATGAGGGTTGACCAAATAAACGGTTGATCTTGTAGTGTACAAGAACAACCTTTTCTTCAACCCAAAAAGTCCAAGTTGGACAAAACACCCGTCTTCGGGACCTGCTGACATGTCCACACTTTTAAAACCCAGAGAAAGCGAAAATGCTTCAACGGCCTTCCCACAACAAAACACAGAGAAATAGCCGCCGGCGATTGCGAAACGCTGCTCACTTGCGCGACTTGTTTCGCTGAAAAAATTAAATCAAATACAAACTAAAAAAGAAAGAAGCTTTTTAAACCCTCTCCCGCCACGTATCCCCAAGCTCTCTCTCCCTCTCTCTCTCTCTCTCTATTTGATCCCCAACCCTCGGGCTCCACATCATTTCTCCGGCGACCAAACGGCACCGCATTGACGCGACTTTCCAAGCGATAGCCAGTCAGCTACGCTCTTCGTTATCGGGCCATGGCCGATACGGCGCCGTTATCGATTGTTACGCAGCCGAGCAAGCTATGGAAGGGGGTTTTCGCCGTGGCCGGAATCATGACCACGCTCGTCACCTACGGCGTTCTCCAGGTCCAAATTTCTCTCGCATTCCTCCAGCTCTTCGAATCGATCTCCATTGTCATCATTTTCATGGCGAAAAGCTTGAATCTTGCTCCGTTTTCGTGCAGGAAAAGATTATGAGAGTCCCGTACGGGGACGACAAGGCGTTTTTCAGGTACTCGTTGTTTCTCGTCTTCTGCAATCGCATTACGACGTCGGCGATCTCCGCAGGAGCCTTGTTGGCGAGCAAGAAGGCTTTGGATCCCGTTGCTCCGGTCTACAAGTACTCCTTTGTATCGGTTTCAAACATATTAACCACTACATGTCAGTATGAGGTGAGCTGTGGGCTTTAATTTGGTAAAACATGTATTGTTTGTTTTGGTTTTGATGATTTGGTGCATTTTGGTTACTGCAAATTCTTGTTGCAGGCTCTCAAATATGTCAGCTTTCCTGTTCAAACACTTGCAAAATGTGCCAAGATGATACCTGTGATGGTGAGAAGAAGACATTGTCTTTAGTTTTGGTACTTGATTGTACTATTTATGAATAGTTATATCTGTTTGCTTAATTTTTATATTATTTTGTTTTTGAGTACTTGAGGCTCTAACATAAATAAGGTGTGAAGTGTTTATCAAGTTGAGTGACATTTTGTTCTGATTTGAAGTTTTGAACCATAAAAAAATCCTGAAAGCATTCAGCTTATTTAGTGTACTTGATGAGAAAG